TCTGGGGACCCCAGGGTTCCACTCACCACGGTCATGTGGTTGACTAACATATGCCGGTTCCACGCTGCCTAGTAGAATCTAGAAAAGAAATAGTTTATGTGGAGATGAAGATGGGCTTCCAGGGGCCGGGCAGGTACCAGACAACGAAAGACACTTAAGGTACTTTCTTTAGAGAGGATCTCTGTTCAGTCATTTACAAACCAGGAGACTTCACTCTCATGGTACTTTCTCCTCTCTGGGTCTCAGTTACCACATCTGTAAAATGGAAATAATACTTGAGTCCGTCTGGGTAAGGAGAAAGCAGTTAGTACATGTGGGTGTTAAACAGCATGCCAAATACAGTAGGTGTTTTGGAAGTGGAAGCTGGGGGCAGCTGGGAAGCTGTCCCACTGAGGTGTCTGCGCTCTGAGGACCATGTCAGAACCTACCCAACAACATTCCCAGAAAGTGTGTGGAAGGGCAAGGAGGTCCTTCAGTGTGCTGTGCTGAGGGCTGCCTTGTGCTCCTGTTTTTGCTGTCTGCAGGTAGCCTTGTTTACACACTAGGAAGTTAGACAGCCCCATGGTGTGTGGAGAGACTGAGGCTTTGATAGGTTGGGGGTCTTGCCACATGTCCTCAGGTGGTAAGTGACAGTGAGTGAACGTGCTTTGATTTATTCCCCAAAAGGGGGGGGGTGCTCCTAGGGAGATGGCAGTGAAAACAGAAGTGAGTGCTACCAGGGCGGTGCTCCCAGGGGCCTTCTGCACTGTGCCCACTGTATGCAGGGCAGGAGACAGCAGGTTTCTGTGGGTGAGCTGTCTGCCAGGACCTAGCAGCAGAGCTTACTCTAGCATAGGCGCTGGGCTTTGCCTGGGGTTCCTGGAAGTTGCCAGCGTCCCCAGCCACACTGTCCAGGCTTCTGACTTGGGACCTGCACTGGAAGGTAGCTGGAAGGGGCTGTCCAGTGCCTCTGTGGGACCTTCAAGAGCAGAATGTGACAGAAAGGGCATGATATTCCGTTCTAGTTTCCCATCAGATGGGGCTAACATTTTCAAAATGTGGCAACTGTGTCCTATGTGGATTTAGAAGGCAGACTCTTCAAGGCTAGGGAGGCTGGGGCAAGAGGGCCTCCATGAACTTTTGGTCTGCCTGAACTGCACAATGGGTTCAAGGTTAGGCTGGGCTACACTACACAATGAAACCTTTTTTTTTTTTTTTTAGAAAAACAAACAAACAAACAAGATGAAAGATGAAGCAATATTTTCAAATATAGAGGGAAACCCTCCCACAGAGAAGGAATAGGTTGAGCAGGTTCTGGTGGCCATGTGCAGTTCTATGTCCCCACAGCACTGGGATCACATTTCCACCTGGCTCCTCTCACTCAGTGACCCACTGACTTCTGCAGCTGTGGCCCACATGTCTACTGAAGTGCTGGCGGCTATGAAAGCCATGCGACTTCTGGCCTGCAGAGGAATAGATTGTCATAGCCTGAGGGCACTCCTCTGAGGGCCCAGGGAAAGATGGAGCTGGTCAGGGTGGCCCCCTTGTGTGACCCTGGTGAACCAGGGGCCAAGGACCTGTATGTGCTTCTCACAAGGGGAAGCCTCTGGCTGAGTCACCTATGGCTGGGAACATGAGTACTAGTGTTCAAATCCCAGGCTTGATGTTAAGCAGCTGTGCAGCTTTGGGCAAGTTACATGAGTTTTCACATTTCCATCTCCTCATCCACAAAAGCACTAAAACCCAGGCTGCTGGGATGCTTTAGGGAAGTGACACTGACGGTTTAATGACAGCCAGTGGCAGGGTCTTTGAACTTCCGAAACAGCTGGGCCTTTTGGTTTGAGAGCATACCAAACTGGTATTCTCATCACTGGTGCTGGACTGTGTGCTGGGTGGACCACAGAGCTGTCCACCCTCTGGCAGTGAGCTCTGCTTTCTGCACATCCCAACAGGAAATTGAAGCAAAAGGCTCTAGCCTCAGAGTGGAAGACAGGCCTGCTCAGGGAGGGTAATATTCGTCTTAGGGCAAACATTTGCGCAGTCAGAGCCCCTCTAGACCAGGGACTTCCAGTTTCCATCATCTGTCTCATCTTCTCAGGAATGCTTTCCTCAGGAATGCCTCAGGCTGTGGTTGGTGCCACTAACCCCAGGAGGGACTGTGGCATACATAAATAAGTGACTTGCCCCGGGGGCCAGGACTAGCACAGGGAGATGGGAGCATAACTACTGAGAAAAAGAAAACAGCAACTACAATACCTGGTCCTCTCCAGTAACAGCAGGGATCAAATGCAGGCCCCATTCTTGCCTGCCAAGGTCCCTCACTGACTCACTGAAGCTCTGAATTCCACAGTAACCTGGGTCCCCAGGTTTAACTCAACACCTTGTTGGGGGGGAGGGGGACGGGGACAGAAGTCTCAAAACCAAGTTCTGGGGTTGTGATTTAGGGTTGCCCGCTCATCACGTGCAAGGCCCTTGGGTTAATGCCTAACAACAAACATGCCCCCAACCCCAGCGGCAGCAGCTCACACTTCTTGTAGACCAGGCTGGTCTCAGACTCATAGAGATCCACCTGCCTCTGCCTCCCGAGTGCTGGGATTAAAGGCGTGCACCACCAATGCACAGCTCTCACACTTCTTTTAAACAACACCATTTATTTATTTGTTTGTTTGTTTATTATGTGTATGTGTGACATAGGTCAGAGGACAACCCCCTGGGGAGTCAGTCTTACCAGTCCATCATACAGGTCCTGAGGGCCGAACTCAGGTCATCAGGCTTGGTAGCACTTTCATCCACTGGTCCATTCTACCAGATCAGGCCTCTTTTTTGTTACATATATTTCAGAGCCTGACCCCCTGACCTCCCTCTTATAAGGATAGTGGTTATTATGTAGGGCCTGGCTGGGTAGTTCAGCAATCTCCCCACGTCCAGAGACTTCAGCACACCCGCAGAATCATTTCTGACATTAAGTCAACATATTCCCAGGTTCCGGGCCATATCTGAGGGTAAGGGTGAGTGAGGTGTGCCACTCAGACCTTCCCTGCAGCCTCTCCTGCCATTCGGAGTCTTGGAGAATTTCTCCAGAGATAGCTTATCTACAAGTCAGCAACTGAGTACAGACAGACAGATGCCCCTCCCACTTCCTACACAGATGACCTCACTCTGGCCCAGTTGCCACTGAGCCTGGTGACCTGACTTCGGTCCTGGGAACCCACACGGTGGAAGGAGAGAACTGACTCCTGCAGGCTCTGACCTCCATGACCACACAGGACGAAGGAATGAATGCAGATGGGGTCACTCCACATCTTTGCTCAGAGCCCCCACCGCCATCCTTTCTACACCGAGTGCCTCACACTGCAAACGACGTGATTTATTTGACACTTTCCTTTTAGGAGACTTTTAGATTCTTTCCGGTCTTTTGTAATCTAGGCTGAGACGTGAACAACTTTACTTGTAAGATCCACTCATGTTAGAATAATGTTTCAGAATTTGGGGACACCACTTAGGATATTGAAATCTAAGCTGGGGATGGTGGCACACACCAGCCATCCCAACAATCAGAGGTTGAGGCAGGAGATCCAAGGTCAGCTTCAGCTACAATTGGCCTGGCCTACAGGAGATTGAAAGACACTGACATCTCACAAAGCTGTTTTGGTAAAATTCATACTTCAGGGAGCAACCTGTGCTGCCCTGCCCCTATGACCTGTGTCCATCCTCCCTCTGCTGTAGCACAAATAATAAAAACCCAGAGGTAGATATTGGAGTTCACGCTGAAGAGCAGAAAATCAAAGCAGCCGGCACTAGCTCTTACCTCTATCTCCCTCAGGCTGAAAGGGCTGTTCTGTCCTTAGTGTGGCTGGAGAATAAATCTCTGAGACTGACTACTGAATGCCCCGCTCCTATCTTATATACCTTTCTGAGCTGGGATTAAAGGTCTGGGATCCCAAGTGCTGGGATCTCCTTTGTGTGAGCTCTTTTTCCTCTCTCTCTCTCTCTCTCTCTCTCTCTCTCTCTCTCTCTCTCTGTGTGTGTGTGTGTGTGTGTATGCCACATGTGTTAGGTGCCTCAGGAGGCCAGAGGAAGGTATCAGGTCCTCTGGCACTGGAGTTAGAAGTGAGCTGCCTGACATGGATTCTGGGATCTGCATTTGTATCCTCTAGAAGAGCAGGCTGTGCTCTTATTCCTGCAACCCCCAGGATGAGTAAGTACCCTTACAATCATCTTGTGTCAGGCTAGGGATGCTTCTCTAGCAAATATGAGACCTTCAGTTTAATCCCTAGCCTCGTAGAAGCAAGACAACAACAAAACATTTATTTCCTGCCATGCCAGTGTATAATTCCCTCAGGCTGACTGTTCTCCAAATACCTCAGGTGGGGATGAGGGTGTGAACAGAAAAGAACTCAGACACAGGCAAACTGTGATTTGTTCCAGGTTACTAAAGCATTCAGTGACAGAGCCAACATGACATGTGAGAAGACATCTCCCCAAAATGATGACATTGGGGCTTGTCTGAATGAGACTACACATCTAGGGGGCCATCACAGGCTTCCATATGTTCTGGGTGGCCTGACAGCTCAAAGATGAAGGCCAGAAAACAGAGACAGTTAGGTAAAGGAGGAGAACTTGGCTGGAGTGTTGGTTAGCTATAGACAGGAGCTGACACACACATTTCTCTTTTTTGGGGGGGGGGGGTTTGAGGCAGGGTTTCTCTGTGGCTTTGGAGGCTGTCCTGGAACTAGCTCTTGTAGACCAGGCTGGTCTCAAACTCACAGAGATCCACCTACCTCTGCCTCCCAAGTGCTGGGACTAAAGGTGTGCACCACCAATGCCCGGTGGCACACATTTCTGACAATCAAATTCCTTAATAACACCAGCTATTAACAGCAGGAGAAGCTGGGACATGGTGGAGCTCCAACAGCAACATAGAACAAAGAACAGCAAGTCACAGGTCAACGGAAGTTCTGATCTTAGATGGGAGGGTGAACTAAGGGCGGAGTCATTGGGTTTAGAGGGAGGAGTTTAAGTTTAGAGGGAAGAGGTTTCTGAGCTTATTGTTGAGGGGGTCTCTTTGCTTAGGAGGGAAGAGTCCCTGAGTTTAGCAGATTATTGAAGATGCTGGATAGGCCGTAAATCTGTGTCTAGGAAGCCGACCCTGTAGTCCCATCCATCTGCCTTGAAAACTGACACATACTAAAAGTTTAGCATGTAAGGTAGGATGTAAGTCGTGGCAGATCCCACTACCGACTCAGCATTTGTGGTCTAGTAGCTAGTGGGTTGAATTGGGTGGGTGGGTGTTTTCTGTTGGGCTCTTGGGCAATAACTTAATTTAAGCCTGCAAAGAAGTGTCATAAATGGCTGGCCATCCCAAGACCTGTCTTGCTTGCTCTCTTATACCTTCCCCTTCTTTCCTTTCCAATCTCAGGTTATTTCAAAACAACACCAGTCATATTTCACTGAAATCATTCTCTCATGTGTCTCTACAAGACAGGTTGTATTTTTAACTAATTAATTAATTTTGAACTCAGATCCCCTTGCATCCACTTTCCAAGTGCTGAGATCATACGTGTGTGAAAACACACCTGACAAGAATTCTTATTCGTATGTGAGGAGTTCCCAAAACCCCAGAATTAGAACATAAAGTCATCCCATTGCCCAGATTTCTGTGTTCTTGGGAGAGCTTGGCAGCTCCACAACCTGTGGTTGGTGTTTCCAAGTCCTTGGCATCTTATCCAAAGAATTCAAACTAAGGGGCTCACAGGGATTTGCAAAGGAAGCAATGCAGCTTTATCTGAAGCAGTGCTTCAGGTTAGAATGGGAGCCGCTCCAAACTGACGGCGGGCCAGCTGTTGCTCAGGGCTCCCTTTTGCAGGTTACTAAGGGGCGTGGTTGAAGCGGTTTTCTGCTTTGATGGACAGCCCAGTTCGTATATGCATTAGTCCCACCGTGCACACCCCTTCCCTCATGCAGAGGCACAGGCTAATAAATGGGAGACTCCCTTTCACTGTTTCGCCTTACTGCACACATCCCCAAAACCAGTTCAGGCTGAACGAATCCCTCTCTTTTTCCTTCCTGGATGCACTGGGGATGCATTTGAATAGGAACTCTCTAATTTTGATGGTTACCAGGGAAACTTACATTATTGTTCAGATGTGGGAGTAGTCCAACCTGATGCAGGCTTCAGAGGCTTCTGGGGTTTCTAGCTGCACTGTTAGGAGAGGGGTGTACGTGCAGAGTGCAAGCAGGCGGAGGAACTAGGCTGCAAGGAAAGTGCTAAAAAGGGTCGGGGTGTGCACAACCCCAAACCATATATGGTCCCGGGGGTGCTCAAACTGTCTCTTGTGTTTGTCTGCTTCATTCCCTCAGCACTGTGCGTGGATGACAACCATTCGTTAGAGCTGAGTGGACAGTGCCCTGCTAAATAAACAGTGTAAGGCCGTCTCTGTCCCAGTCCCTATCACCTCCTACTGTGCCTTACCTGGCCACTTCACTGAACTCCATCACCTTCCTGACTACTAGAGCGTTTAATTTTTATAGGTGTTAGAAAGGCCATTAAAAGTGGGAATTAGCTGACAGACAGACCCTGCAGGTGGCAGAGCCATGCTTGGTGTACAAGTCATCGGTTTGAGAATTGGGCTCTGAGAGCACAAGGCAAGGCAGGTGGAGGCAGAGGGGTTGTGAAGAAGCAAGTGGGGAGGTAGTTTCTATCCCTATTTACAAATGGAGAAACTGAGGCAAACAGAGACTAAGTTTTGGAAGGCCACACAGATACTGAGCAGTGCGAGGGTCAAACCTGGAATCCTCCTGACTCTAACACAGTGTGACAGTGGGACCCAGTGCTCCTTTAGGACACTTTAGGGAGATCAGGATGGACTCCTGGCAGCGCCTGAGATGGAGGGAACACTGGGGCTCAAAGGCTTCTGGGGCAAGCATGAACAGGAGCCATGCTGCCAGGAACGAAGCTGCCTCCACCAACCCACAGTTAGCCTCTTGGCTGCCGTGGTTACATGGTAGTAAGAGGGGCTTCCTCTCTCTCAGTCCTCTCCTAGGAGGAAATGGTTTGCTGTTCAAAACAGAACGGTAGGTCTCTTTAGTATTCTGGACTTCTGAGTTAGAACCCTGAGGTCTTTCGGGGAACTTGGTTTGGGGCTAGCAGCCCTCACCACCATTCTAGTTCCTTTCCTTCTAGGTCATTTGCATGCTGTTTCCTTCTGGTAGGTTCCACAGCTGTTACTTCCTTCAGACTGTGGAAGGAAGTGACTTGAGGTCTACTGCCAGTCATGCCTCAGAAACCTGGCAAACTTCTGGTATTCTCTGAATGTCTGTAATTAACAGGATTGGGCCTGCTTCTGTGAGGGACCCTAAGATCTGTGCTGCTGGGATTCCAGCTCCTAGGTGGCCATGCCCCCCAGCTCTAACTGGGTCCTGCCACACCAGGCAAGTGACAGCCAGCCAACTGATATCTCTCCATTTCCTCTCTTCAGCCCATCCCGTTTTCTGGAATAATCCATGGAGGACTGCAAGAGGGACTTCAGATCACCATCCACGGGACCGTCCACGCCTCTGCAAATAAGTATGTGGATGACACTTGTCTTGGGGTTTTATTGCTGTGAAGAGATACCATGACCACAGCAACTCGTATAAAAGGAAACATTTAATTGGGACTGGCTTACAGTTCCAGAGGCTTAGGCCATCATTGTCATGACAGGAAGCATGGCAGTGTGCAAGCAGACATGGTGCTGGAGAAGAGCTGAGGGTTCTATATCTTGATCTAGGCAGCAGAAGGAGACTGTGCCACACTGGGTGTAGCTCAAGCATATAAGACCTCAAAGCCCACCCCACAGTGACACACTTCCCCCAACAAAGCCACACCTCCTAATAGTGCCACTCCCTATGAACCAAGCATCCACACACATGAGTCTGTGGGGACCATACCTATCCAAACCACCACAATACTGATGTTAATCTCTAGCCTCAGCAACCATGGAGGGGCAGGCTATGGAGGGCTGGCCCTTCTCACACCGCCTGTCATCCTGGCACCGTTGACAGACTCTGTAGACTCCTGGACCCTGAGCACTCTGTTCCCAGGGAGCTCACATCCAGAGGACTGTAGTAGCATGGTCAGAGCAGCTGGCCACAGCATACACTCTTGACACTGTGACATGGTGTTGCAAAAAGAGAAGTTTCATTAGTTCCCACAGCAGCTTTAAATAGTTTTCTTTTTTTTTTTTTAAAGATTTTATTTATTATGTATACAACATTCTGCTTCCATGTATATCTGCACACCAGAAGAGGGCACCAGGTCTCATAACAGATGGTTGTGAGCCACCATGTGGTTGCTGGGAATTGAACTCAGGACCTCTGGAAGAGCAGTCAGTGCTCTTAACCTCTGAGCCATCTCTCCAGCCCCAATGGTTTTCTTTATAGGTGTGTGTGTGTGTGTGTGTGTGTGTGTGTGTGTGTGTGTGTGTGTATGTGTGGTGTGTGTGTGGATGCCAGAGGAGGCCAGAGGGCATCAGATCCCCCTGGAGCTGGAGTTATCATAAGTTATGAGCCACCTGATGGGGATGCAGAAAACTGAGTTAGTGTCCTCTGGAAGTGCAGGAAGTGTTCTTAACCCCTGAGCTGTCTCTCCAGTTCCAGCCCTATCCAGTCCTAGGAATCCAAGCATGGGAGAGGTTGATGCAGGAAGATCAGAAGTTCAAAGTGACAGAGGCAGGCAGGTCTCTGAGTTCCAGGACAGCCAGAGCTGCATAGTGATACCCTTTCTTAAAAACAAAGCAAACAAGTTCTACATAAGGAATTTAAGACTAACCTGGAATACACGCTATCCTATCTTTAAAAAAGCAAGCCCCTGGTGGGTTTATAAACTCAGCTCCTGGAAGGGCTGAGACAGGAGGATCTCAAGTTCAAGGCCTTTCTGTGCAACTTACCAAGACTGTCTCAAAATCAAAAAAACAAAACAAACAAACAAAAAACAACCCACAGGTGTGGTGGCACATAATCATAATATCAGACCCAGGAGGCAGAAGCAGGGGGATTAGGAGTTCAAGTTCACTCTCAGCGACACAGCAAGTTCGAGGCCAGGCTGAGTTACTTGAAACCTGTCTCAAAAAAGTACTAAGTCTTCGATGTCAGGATCCTGTGTCTGCTCAAGCCTCCCAAATACACGTCCACGTGGGATAATGCCTGGTTTAAGGCCACAGTAGCTTCTTGTAGGTCCTGGGGTGGGGTGACTGCTCTGTGTGAGCATAGAGAGATACCAGTTAGTAGCTAAGCGGGCACCAGCCACTTCAGGAGTTCAGGGAAGGCTGGGCTGTGCAGCACCTATGAGAAGAACCTCAGACTTGAACTTGGATCTTGTATCTGAGCTGGCTGTGACACGGAGAGGCAGGGCAAACACTGATGGCTCTTCTTTTGTGAGCCCGCCTCTCTGGAAGTTTCTGTGATTTTAGTTGATCCTCTTGGAACCCCAGCCGTACTCCAAAAGTGGTTTTGGGAGAGGCTTCCTCCCAGGAACAAGACAGAAATGGGAGTTTTCCACTGTTGGTGAAAAGGAGAACTTACCACATTAGTGTGGGTCAAGGGTCATATCAAGCGACACTGTGGAGCTGGGATCAGAGCCTATGCTTGCCTTCCATAGCTCATGTCTCCCAAACACTCCAGCACTCTGCGAAGACCAGATTTGGTCGTGAAGGTTTTTCATGCCTGGAGAACAATTTCACATGACTTTGAAAATTTTTAAAATTACACGTGTGTGTGTGTGTACTCATTCTTGCCATGGCATATGTGTGGATGTCAAAGGACAATTTCCAAGAGTTCTTTTCTGATGTCATGAGGATCTCAGGGATCGAACCCAGGTGGTCGGGCTTGGCAGCATGTGTCTTTACCTGCTGAGTCATCTCACCTGTTCTAAATTTGTTCTTTCTTTCCCCCACTGAGCAGGTTCTGGGCTGGCTCCCAACAGCATCAGCTTCCTAACACTGTCCACTTGTGCAAATGACTTTCCTGGGGAACATTTTTCTTTAATAGTACTTTTCAATTTTTATTTTATGTGTCTGAGTGTTTTGCCGGCATGTATGTCTGTGTATATATTACATGTGTGCCTGTTGTCCACAAAGGTCAAAAGAGACCTTTGCTTCCTCTGGGGCTGGAGTTACAGATGGTTGTGAGTCACCATGTGGTTACTGGGAAGCAAGAGCAGCAAGTGTTCTTAACCTCTGAGCCATCTCCCCAGTCCCTAGTGGGCAGCATTCTGAACATCCAATCTCTAAGACATTATTCTTTTTTATTTCGCTTTTAATTTTTGAAATGTTCTTGTTAGTATGTTACTTGGGACATTTCCGTGCACGTGTATAATGTATTTTGATCATGTGCACTCCCATTACCCTCCCTTATTCACTCCCACTCCTCTTGAACCCCTTACCTTTCCCAGCTAGCCCCCCCCCTATTCCGTGTATGTGTGTGTGACCCAGTGGGCTTCATAAAGGTTGCTTCATGAGCATGCGTGAAAGCATGTTTGCAGGAACACGGGCATTTGGCTAATGTGGCTACACCCCTGAAAGAAATACTTCTTGCTTCCCCCATCTACTATTAAGTGCCTGAAAATCCCCAGGGAAGGGTGAGGGGCCCCTCCCGCTGCAGACACAGTGCTGTAGTCTGACTCAGTCTTAGGTGGATCTTACGCAGGTAACCATAGCTGCTCTGAGTTCAGGAGTGAAGTGGCCATGTTACACCTGCTGTGTTCCGAGCAGCCCAGCACTTCCCTGGATGCTGATGTGTAGCTGTCACTTTTTCTGCAGTGGCCACCGCCCATTGCAAAAAGAGGCTTCTCTGCCCAAAGCTGACAACAGTATTGATCTATAGACACAAACAATTATGTAGAGGTGTTTTTATATGCATGTTGTGTCCATTTAGCAAAACAGTGGTATTAGCTTCCCCACTAGAGCCTAAGACCTTGCAGCCACAGACTATTATCCAGGTCTCCAGTATCAGATGTGAATTCCTATCTCAAATTTAATCAGAAAGTAGTTGGTACCACAATAACAGACTTGCCACTATTGACCAGTGGGTACATTGTCTCAGTTAGGGTTTCTATTGCTGTGAAGAGACACTATGACCCCCGGCAACCTTATAAAAGACAGCATTTAATGCAGGCCGGCTTACCGTTTCAGAGTTTAGTCTATTATCATCATGGGAGGGAACATGGCAGCACGCAGGCAGACACGGTGCTGGCAAAGGAGCTGAGAATTCTGTCTTGATCCACAGGAAGCAGGAGACTGTGTGCCATATTGGGTGTATCTTGAGCATAGGAGACCTCAAAGCCCGCCCCCTTAGTGACACACTTCCTCCAACAAGGCCACACCTCCTGATAGGCTAAGCATTCAAACATATGAGTCCGTGGGGACCATTCCTACCACCACATACATCTTGCCTGGCCAGATGGAAGTTGTATGAGTTTGTCTCTCTCTCTGTTGCTGTGATAAAGCACTCCAACCAAAAGCAACTTGGGGAGGAAAGGAGCCAAGGAGGAGCTGATGCAGAGACCCCAGAGGGATGCCCTTACTGGCTTGCTTCCTGCTTCCTCTGCTACCTTTATGTTTTTAATGTAGCCCCAGCCCACCTGCCCAGATATGCACCACCTACAGTTGGTGGGGCCCTCCTCCATCAACCAACAACCAAGAAAAACCACCCCATAGACATGCCCATAGGTCAACCCTTGGAGGCAATTCACTGGTGGAGGATACCCCTTCCCAGATACATCAACAACTAAAATCAACTATGACAATGGTGCTGCACACAGGGTACACAGCTGAGTAAGATGGTTGGTGACAATTCCCCAGAAGCCTGCGTAGCACCATCTGAGTGCTAAGTGACAACTACCAGGTCCAACCCAGGTCCAGTGTGGTTTCTCTATGTCTGTGACCAGTGGCTGGGGCAAAAAGATGTGTGTGTTTTATTGTTGTTGTTGCTGTTAATGTTGTCATTTTTCCTTACTAACTGTCTACTTAACTTTTTAAGAAAAGAAGGCAGGAAGGGCAAAATGCAGTAACTACACAGAATACATTAGGTCTAAGTTAGATGAACCTAAGCATGCTAACAGACAAAGCAGTCCGAGGCGGTTCTGTCCAAGCCCGGCAGTAAGCCATGCTCCAGGAGGGTCTTTTCTCTGCCTTAGGATTACTGTGAACTTTCAGACTGGCCTCAATGAAAACGACATTGCCTTTCACTTCAATCCCCGGTTTGAAGATGGAGGGTATGTGGTCTGTAACACAAAGCAGAAAGGAAACTGGGGGCCTGAGGAGAGGAAGATGCAGATGCCCTTCCAGAAGGGGAGGCCCTTTGAACTTACCTTCCTGGTGCAGAGGTCAGAGTTCAAGGTGAGTGGGGAATCCCACCCCCCAAGCCTGCCCCCTGGGTGGACCACATTTTAGCAGCCACATTCGTTGAGACCAGGCCCCAGCCTAGCCACTGCACACGGGTGACCTTTGCTCTTTGCCTTACACACTCCAGCCTGTATCTACAGATGCAGCTCTTGCTTTTATGCCTCAGAAAATAAGACCCCAATCTGTCACCATGTTGTTTTTAGGCCTCATGTGTCTAAAAAGAAAAAAAAAGAAGCCCCCAAATCTCTGTATTTATTCTTAGATCACTTCATATACAAATGGAATATATTTTGAGCGCACACACTCCCTATTCTCCCCTCTCTCTCCTTCCACTCCCTCCCTAACCTTTGTCCTCCTTAACCCCCTCCTGCTTTTATGTCTCTTTTCCCCTCAATAACCCACTGGGTTTTATTAGAGTTGCGTTCTATGCATGGGTGTGGGGTTGTTTGCTGGATTATGGCAACAACATTGAAAAGATAGGACTCTCCCCACCCCACCCCCTGTATCAACTGTCAGTCAAAAACTCAAGAGGGGTGGGGCCTCATGTGCAGATAGCCTCACTTATCCCAAAGTCCAAGTTAGCTCCATTCCTCCACTGCAGGTCCCTAGTAAAGGCTACTTTTTGTGGTGCTGGGGATCAGACCTAGCCTCCTTCATTCTAGGCAAGTGCTCTGCCACTGAGCTACACCCCAGTCTTAACATGGATCTACTGACAACATTGCTTTATCCTCTCTTTAGGCTAAAAGGCAATGTCTTTACAAGAGGAACTGGGCTGGGGTGGGATGAGTGTATTCACTCCTGAGCTTGTCTGTGTGACACACTGGGGTTCTTGTGTGCTCCAAGCACATTCTGAGCTTGACTGTCCTGTGCTGCTCTTGAGCATCCTAGCACACCCAGACACTATCCCAGGTGACGGCTGGGATATAGTTCACCTGGTAGGGTGCCTGCCTAGCATGCACAAAGCTCTGGATGAACTGGGCATGGTGGTCCAACCTGAAATCCCAGCATTTGGGTGATGGAAGCAGAAAGATCAGGAGTTCAAGGTCATCCTTAGCTACATAACAAGTTTGAGGCTAGCCTGAGCTACACAAGACCCTTTTCCAACAATATCAATTAAAAAAAATTAACTGACGTGAACGAAGTTTGAAAAGATAAACCTGGGGACTGGAGAGATAAGAGCACTTGGCTGCTCTTGTAGAGATCCAGAGTTCAGTTCCCTACACCCACATGGCAGCTCACAACCATCTGCAATCCAGTTCTAGGGGATTACACACCCTCTTCTGGCACCACAGTGCATGTGGTGTGCATGAAATACTCTCAGGCAAAACATCTACACACATAAAATAAAATAGCTCCAAAAAACCTCTAAAAAGGAATGATAAGCCTGGAGTACTAGGTGAACGGTGGTCAGACTGAAGGCCAGCCAGAAACAGGAGCCAAGTGGACAATGGGTCTAAGTGCAGTGACTCATACATTCTGTCCTTGGCACCCCACTGAAGATGATGTCCCTGCCTGGGAAGACTGGGCTTGAGAAATGAGTTCAGATCTTCATTTCTGAATGTACAGCTCTGGTGTGGCCTGGGCCAGCACACCCCCACAGCAGCTCTCTTCTGCAGGTGATGGTGAACAAGAACTTCTTTGTGCAGTACTCACACCGTGTACCCTACCACCTCGTGGACACCATTGCTGTCTCGGGCTCCTTGCAGCTGTCCTTCATCACCTTCCAGGTCAGGAGCGGCTGGCACCGGTCCCAGGGTTGAAGGACCATGACCGGCTTGGCTTTTGCTCACTCAACAGGGTACCAGCAAGTGTCTTCCCCAGGTGGCTTTGGGGCTGTACTGGTTCCCTGGTTTGGTGTCTGTCTGCCTGTTGTCTGTCCCTCTGTCCCTCTGTCCCTCTTGGTGTTGCTTTCTCTGCAATGAACAATCTGCCTTGGTCTCCAAGATGACAAAGCTACTCCTTCCCTGCAACTCTCTATTGCTACATGATCAGGGAGTTCAAGCAGGGGTTGCGCTTTGGGAATCAAATGGAATCCAAATCAGAGGGCACAGCATGATGCTTGGAGCCCAGACTGGGTTTGACCTCAGTATTAAAAACAGAAAAAAAGAAAGGAAGGAAGGAAGGAAGGAAGGAAGGAAGGAAGGAAGGAAAAAGAGAACCAAAGCCAAAACAAACACCAAAAACTTTTTGTTTAAGATTTTATTTATTTATTATGTATACAGCATTCTGCTTACACATCAGAAGAGGGCACCAGATCTCATAAAGGATGGCTGTGAGCCACCGTGTGGTAGCTGGGAATTGAACTCAGGACCTCTGGAAGAGCAGTCAGTGCTCTTAACCTCTGCGCCATCTCTCCAGCCCCCCAAAAACTTTTTTGTGTGAATTTTTTATTGTAGTTTGTGTCAGAATCTTACTTTGTAGCCCAGGCTGGCCTCTAACTTATGGCCCTTCTGCCTCGGCCTCTTGAATGCTGGGATTATAGACCCATGTGAATGGTCTCATCTCTGAAAACAAATTATTTTATTTATTTATTTTCAGACAGTGCCTCACTATATAGCCATGGCTGGCCTTGAACTTGCGTCAATCCTTCTGCCTCAGACTCCACAGTGCTGTGATTACTGGTGTGTCACACCAGTCTCAGTTCTGAAAATTTACTATACAGCTTGGGCTGGCTTTGAATTCTGTGTAATCCAGATTGGCTCTACCTTGTGATTCCCCCAGCCTCAGCCTCTTCAGTGCTTGGGATTACAGGAATGTAAGACCGCATTCAGCTGTGTTTTTTTAAAAAAATGAGACAGGGTCTCTTGATGCAGTTTAGTTGTTCTTGAGCTTGTTATGTAGACCAGACTGGCCTCAAACTCACAGAGCTCCACCTGCCTCTGCCTCCCAAGTGCTGGGAATAAAGGCGTGCGCCACCACCCAGCTTGTTTTAAAATTCTTAATGTGTTGCCGAGATCTGAAAGTCTAGCTGGACGTACTGGCTCAGACCTATAATTCCAACAGCAGAGAGGTTAGGAGTTCAAGATCATCCTCATCCTCTCTTACCTAGTGAGTTTAGGGCTAGCCTGAGCTACATGAGACCCTGTCACAAAAATACCAAACACAGTCAATATGTAGAGATACTCATGTGAAAAACTGGAGAGCCAGGGTATGCTGGGCCTCTTTCCCTCTGACCTTGTGCTCACATCCCCGTTTCTGTTTCTGATCCTCTCCCTACAGGGGCAGGAGCAAGAGGCAGGGAGTAAAGAGACACCGGGGATCTGGTTCACTCATTCTACAGGAGCCAGCCCTGCCTGCCCTGGCTTTGGCCCCTGCCTCTTGTTTCCTGTCATCCAGACATGCTCTTGTTTTAACTCAGCTCCCCTGCAGTCCCTGTCCAGCCTGTCTTCTCCACAGTGCAATTCTCTCAGCCCATCCAGTTCCCACGGAACCCCAGGGGGCACAAACCAAAAGTGAGTTAAGTGTTCGGGCCCTGGAGGTTCATCAGTAGCAAAAAGATAGAGCCTAGAGGCAGGGCCAACCAACAAGCTATCCCCGGCCTTCAGGCCCCATCCCATCCACAAACGCTACATTCACTTTGCTGTTCCCCCACACACCACCATCTCTCCCTCCCCAAAGCCACTGTGTGGGTCCAAGCTGTGGTAACTGCTCACATACATCACCA